CTGACGTCATATATCATCAATATGTTTCGAAATTGACGTCATATATCATCTATTTAGAAATGACGTCATATCAATATATTTCGAAACTGATGTCATATATCATATATTTAAAACTGACGTCATATATCATCAATATGTTTCGAAACTGACGTCATATCTCATCTATTTAGAACTGACGTCATATCTCATCAATATATTTCGAAACTGACGATGCCTAATGTCATTTGCTCGTATATAGTTTACAATACTTATTATCTTTTGTAAGGTGTTAATTAACATAGCAGATTTTGCACAGCTTGTTCAGAAAGTAATGAAAAGAAGACAGTTCATTTGAAGCCGTGGTTTCTCTTTTTAGATGCATAATGCATTTTTCATTTTCAGCCATCATAGCTGGGATACCATCAGTACACACACTTACCAATTTAGTAAGATTCAGCACAACCTTCTGGCATTTCTCTTTGACATTATTAAAAATATTTATTCCTCGTGTCTCTCTTTTAATGGTGTTTAAAGCAAGTAATTCTTCAAATAATTGAAAATCATCAGTTATTGCACAAATGAAATACAATACTTGTTCTCAATCAGTGGAATCTGTCCAAAGCTAAGGAGAAATATACATTCTTTTTTTAATTATATTTTGGAGCTGCTCTGTTACATGACTGGCCAATTCATACTGTCGATCTTGAAAGTGGCACATTTTTATATTTGGTAACTTTATCTGAATCTAAACATTTTACGATTTCTACAATGCATTCCTTTGTTGTGCTATGTTAATATATACGTGACCATTTGTAGATGTCTGTTATTAACATGGCCACACTTTTATAGTTAACGTAAAATACCACAAAATATGAAACACAAGAAGGAACCAAAATGGTTTTATAATAGCAACATTTATATTTATTTTTGTGTAATGATGTACATGCAAAGAGGTTACTATTTTGTTGGTGTTATGTCCATTTGACTGAATTAAAGTTTTACTGGTGTACTTGAAATATTTTTATCTGAGATCACAAAAGTTGAATGAATTATAAAGCTGAGAAATGCTGAATAAACTTTTAGCTTTAGAAAAGAATTTCAAAGAGAAAAGTTCTTGTTTGGAAATATTTTGTATGTTTGTAATGTAGTTTGGAAAATTTCCTACGTGTGTGCATGTGTGAATGTTTTTAACGTCTGGCTACACATGGTCGAGACGGGATCCTTTAAGGTTACATCTTCACAGAAAAGAGAAGAAAGAAAAGAGATCGAGCAAGCTTGTGTCTTCTATTCATAATTAATGTAATCACGTGACAGGTTCGAAAGACAAAAGCGGGAAAACTTGACTTGGTCATGTACTGGAAAAATATTTGTATGTTGGTGGATTGCAACGTGTTTGTTGACCAATTAGAAGCTGATATTTCCTGAAAATCTGTATGAAGCTGGGTAAGCTTTTGATCCTCTTTTTGCACAGATTTGTACAAAATTCGACATTGATAAGAAAATGGTAGCGGAATGCTAAACCTTTATGATCTCTGCATCATTAAATGGTTTATCTTTTTTTCTCCAAACAAATATGCAACTTTATAGATTGCTTCTGTTGCAGCCTTAACTGAATTTAATACAGAATGCAATAAATGTCTCTGCTTTTGCTTTCCATCCTTTAGTTTCTGTAGTGCAGTCTTTCGAGTTTAACTCTCCAATTTGAGCGCATTTATTGTCTTTATAAACAGCCTAATTTTGATGCTCATCGTATTTTTAAGTTGAAATTTCAGTATCACAGAGCAACCAAGACATTTTACCACTGTTAAACACTAAAAAATATTGCAATTCCCACTCATCATTGAAAGTCCTATTTTCGTCTTTCAAAGTTCATTTTAATTTCTTGTACATAATGGGTTACAATCAATAGAGAAATTATTTTATTCTGAAAAGATAAATAAATAGATATTAGCAAAAAGACAAATAAATATTAGCAAACACAAAGAACTAGGCTTATATGCATGCATTTGTGTTATTGAAAATCATGCTAATTATCTGCATCAGTGATCAGTACACATAATCAAAATTAGTAAAGATATTACGAGCAGTTAAAATATACGGGCAAGTTGTATTATAGCCTCAAATAAGAAAGGGAAATTTATATCTTGACAAGGAAATTTTGATGGCTTGCCTAGGGGAATATGGTTGTGGGGACGTGGAAACGATGCTCAAAAGCAGGGTTGTGGAGCTGCCATCTAAATCTTCAGCTCCGACACTGGCTCTAACTCCAACATTTTGAAATTTCCGTTTCTCGCTCCGGCTCCGGCTCCGGCTCCGGCTCAGGCTCCCAGCTTTAGCTATTCTCACAGTAATGATTGATATACCTTACTAAAATTGGGCTTCGTTCATTGCTATTCATAGATCATAATAGATGGTTATTAAACTAAATTTTAATGAATATACCACCGCCTTTGTTAATCTTATTGATTATAATATAATCAATGATTGATTACTGATGACAATATAAAATTAGCAACACATTTTAGTACAACATAATTATCCCTTGTTAACTATAATTTCAATGTTTTAGTGAAAATTCCAAAGAACAAATAAGAACAATGTTATTTAAAGTGCTGTGAGATTAGAGTATTTGGAAGGTGATAGATGAAAAGAGTCAATGTTGAAAATATTTACTTAGGTTAAGAAGTAGTAAGTAAAATGGTAGCAAAAGAGCGTAGAATTTTACCAAGGTGCCTTTTTCGTTGATCGAAGGGAACGAAATTCGATTTTTTTATTTTACTGTAGTCATTCGTTCGGTGAGAGTTGTATAGTAGAAGTTTTTCTTTGTAAGCTGAGTTGTAGAAATAAATTTCTCATCAATGTTTTGAAAAGCCTCTCGCTAAGTTGAGTAACATTTGCATCCTTCTGTGGCCAAGTTGTTCATCAACCAAGGCCTACATCTAAGCAGGTCAAGAGTGTAAAACAAAAACCATCTACCCATATCTTTCTAATAATTCCCATTACTGTTGGCAGCAACAACCTGAAGTATATGAAACCATTCTCGTACTTAGGATAACGAAATACCAAATATCCGAATATCAAAATATTTGGGATAAAATTTCGCTTCAAGATGAAACAGAGCATGGTACTTTAATTCAATTTAATTCTAATAATTATACTGAAGTTTTCAGCTCTTGTTTTTGAAACATGAGAACTCTTATGTAGCTGAGGAACCATATTTTTAAATAAATAATTATAACTTAGGCTCTACTTTTGTATCGAGCACTGTTTTTTAAAAAAATAAAAACAAAAATACTAAAGAACTTCGGATTATTTACCTAACGAGTTCTTACCTATTTTCTATATATTTTCACACACACACACGCACCCCCTCTCTCTCTCTCTATATATATATATATATATATATATATATATATATATATTAAGCAAGGCGGGAAGCCACTAGGACGCAAGGGGTTACAGAAAGAAGATTTAGAACAAGATCAGATAGGAGTGATAGAGGAAAGGATGAGGAGAAGGATAGTGGATAGATCAAGGCAAGTGGAGATGTCGATTGACATTACATTTGAATAGTTAGAGATTATAGCTACCAGGGAAACTGGAATAGGGAAGGGAGTTCCACAGGCGAGAGGTGCGAGACATGAAGCTATTGGAGTAGAAGAGACGGCTACATTTAGGAGTTTCGACAGTGAAAGGGTGTGAGCGAGATGCCAGCCTCGTAGGGCGCTTGAATTCATGAAGTCTAGGAACCAGCGAATGCAGCTCCTCGGAGAAATTGCCATGAAAGTATTTGTAAAAAAGACAGAGAGAGGCGACGGCGCGTCTGTGAGAGAGCGATTGTAGACGAGATGCCATATATATATATATATTATTTCATATATATATATATATATATATATATATATATATATATATATGTGTGTGTGTGTGTGTGTGTGTGTGTGTGTAAATTTGAACCTCTTCATATCCAGATAAATCGTTATCTGTCTTATAATAATGTAGAATTTTTATATCCTTAAACAGCCCCATTCAGTAACCCTCTGTCTTGAATGGCTCTTGGGTGAACAATGGCGTAAAAAATTCTTCTCAACCCCTGAATTTAGATTATTAATATTCTAGGATAAAGCATTTTCTTACTGAAAATTATAGAAAAACTCTTAAGAAATTATTCCAAAAAAAAAAAAAAAAAAAATCCAATCACCCCATTTGTTCCAAACACCAGTCTATTTGAAACAAGTGTATCTTTCTATATATATTCATATGGATTCATATCGAAGTTGTTTTTTTATGTTCCAAATTGTATTACGTAGATGAAAATACGAGTTTCAGAAATACCTTATCCCTATGTTCACGCATGCGTGTATGCATCTACGAAAAGCTTTGCATTGTAAAGCAACACAACGCTCATCAAAAGAACTTAACAATTAGATGTTATTTTCTTCGAAAATAATTGTGCTTGACACAAAAGAACGTAGAGAAAAATGTCTTAAACTTTAATAAAAGGGAAAAGATCAAAATAAATTCACCATCAGAAGAAATGAAAACAAAAACTTAGCTAAACAAGAACAATTGCAAATTGTACGGAACAAGTGGTTTTACAATGCTATTGTGACGTCAGCAGCTTTAAAATGGCGCGCGTTGATGAAGCATAGGCTGAAACAAGGGGAGCAGGCGTCACTCAAAATAAAGCTGAAGTGGAGGCAAAGGGAGACATTGTTACGGGTATATACTAGAAACAAACGTATAAGAGAAAGAATCTTTGTTTGCAAGGTCGATTTCAAAGCGAAAATTCTCTTTTCTTTCCTTCGTAAAGACATGAAAATGTCATGTAATCCTTCTGTACATATGTGGACGTGTTTGTATAAAAATGTATTTGGGTTTTCTTATGTATTACTATTCAATGTTGCTAGGAGAGCAGATTAACGGTTAGGATTAGCGAGATCGTCGAACATTATCATTGTGTAGTGACTTTGATCAGTACCGCGTGCCACACACTAAAGAAAAAAATCTCAAGTAAAAATATGGAAGACGATTATTTTCCTTTTTTCTTCTCGGTCTCTTTCTCTCTCGACAAAGTTTCTATCTATCTATCTATATATATATATATATATATATCTCAGTCTGTTCGCATCTATCTATCTATCTATCTATCTTATTCTGTTTTTATCTATCTATCTATCCATCCATCCATCTATCTATCCATCCATCTATCTATCTGTATTTTCACCATCCATCCATCTATCTATCTATCCATCTATCCATCTATCTTATTCTGTTCTTATCATCCATCATCTATCTATCCATCTATCTATCTATCTATCCATCCATCCGTATTTTCACATTCATCTATCCATCTTTCACATCTATCCATCTATCCATCTATCTATCTATCTGTATTTTCATTATCCATCCATCCATCCATCCATCCATCTATCTATCCATCTATCTATCTTATTCTGTTCTTATCCATCTATCTATTTATCTATCCATCCATCTATCCGTATTTTCATCTTCATCTATTCATCTATCTATTCATCCATCTATCCCTCATCTATCTATCTATCTTATTCTGTTCTTATCTATCTATCTATCTATCTATCTATCTATCTATCCGTATTATCTATCCGTATTTCATTCATCTATCTATCCATCTATCTATCTATCTTATTCTGTTCTTATCTATCTTATTCCATTCATTATCTATCTATTCATCTATCTATCTATCTATCTATCCGTATTTTCATATCTATCTATCTATCTATCTATCTATCTATCTATCTATCTATTGTGTGTTTTATCTACAGTTTATTATTATGGCAATCTTTATACTCGAGGTTTTATGCATTGCTTTCTTATTCCAGCTATACGGCAGGCATATATATATATATATTTAGAATCAACTGACAACATGTCTCCACATTACAACAACTTTCTCAATCTAAAATAAATTATTATTATTATTGTCATTATTATCTGAATTTTCTCCATAGTAGCAACTGTTTTTTTTCACGGAAGAACAAATAGAAGAAAGTATTCTCAATACTTCAATATTCCAGCACCCTCCTCAGCATTCTAGAGACGTTAGTTATACTGTCATCTCTTCCGCATATTTCTAATATTTTCAAAATTTTCCAACCTCGCAAAATTTGTTTCATAATTTAGAATTTTTAGACTAGCTTCAGAGATGATTTTACAATTTTATTTTTAATTTAAATTTGTTTTTTCTTTTTGTTCGAGGTTATTTAAGATTAGAAGATTTCATTGTCTGGTCTGGATAGCGTTATTCGTAAATACATGATACCAAATGCCTTTCACTTCTCTAAAACTTGCATATGTTTACAATATCGCGTTACACAAAGTCATTTGCAATATTCTCATTGGATCCCAATTCCTACCCAGTCATGTCTACTGTAATAATTGTGTCCTGTATAGATTTTGTTGTCGCCTCTGATCTCCAATTTTTCTACATGATCCAGATACATTAGTAATGTCGTGCTATTGTTGGGCTATTTTTTGTCGGTCTCGCTCTCGACAAGGTTTCTATCTATCTATCTATCTATCTATCTATCTATCTATCTATCTATCTATCTATCTCATTCTTTTATACTTCAGTAATGTTGTGTTGTACTGTACTACTGTACTGATGCGGCATTCACCGGCTTTGAGCCGGCTTCTTCCTGTTATGAGAAGAAGATTCTTGGGATAAATTACAGAAGTAGGGTACCCAGGCTTACTCGGATAACGTTCTTGCTTGCCGCGGGGTTCCCACAGACGCAGAGACAGGAACGACCAGAAGCCGCAGGTTACCGATGCAGACGCTCCTTGGATTTTCACCAGAGCCCTTGTTAGCCGGCGTGTGTGTCAGACCTGTCCGCCTTGGGTGACCCTACCAGGAACAAAGTTCCGGGCGACATAGCTCTGACACTACCGTTTACACCCCCCACCGACTGTGAGGTAAGGGTTGGACTTTGGGGGCTTACAGTACCAGGTGTTCCCAAGCGGTCCCCCATCTGACCTGGCTCTACGATGCTTAACTTCGGTGATCGTACGAGAACCGGTGTTTCAGCGTGATTTGATCGTAAGCATTTCTGTACTGTGTATGAACAATAAATAGAACATATCTTTGTTTTCCCTTACATAGTCTACGGCTTCTTCGAAACTCACACTTAATGTTGTGTTGGCCTATTTTTGATTAAATTTTACTTTTTGTTCCCCTGGAACATTCACAGTGAGAATTTGTTAGATACTTTTAAACATTTTAATGATAATTGCTTATTTATTTTACAATAACGAGATCAAGTTTCAATTTCATAGTATCTTACGTTTATAATTTTGTATTATTCATTTTACCTGTTGTCGGAGTGCACCTGTTTATTTGTGTATACTCTAATTATTTGTACGGCTACATGTTCTTCGTTTGCATCGTTCTCGATTGATCACAGTTCCCATCCATTCATATTTATTTCTTGTCAACATTTCAAGCTAATTAATTAATTAATTATCATTATTATTATTATTATTATTATTGTTCCCTGATTAGTCAGAAGAAACATTACGGCCTGACCATGCTTCGAAAACAAGGGACTATATTGTATGATCGCAAGGAAATGCGGAAAAGACATATGAAAGAAAGAAGGCGATAATGTTTTCATGTGTTTAACGAAAGGTGCAGGCAAACGGAAACAAATTGTAATTTTCTTAACATTTTCATTTGAACACACTTACATCTTTAAATCATGAACTGTATTAATACATCGACTGTTATTAATATATTTGTTTAAAGTGGTCAATCTTAAATATTAAATGATGCAATAGAGGTGTTGTAGAGTAGGACAAGATATCATTCTCCTCCTATTAATAGGACAATGGATTCATAATACTTACGAATATGGTAAGTAGTAACATTAAATTAGGATTTGAGGAGCATTTGATTTAATCAAATATTTCTGTACTGTGTATGAACAATAAATAGAACATATCTTTGTTTTCCCTTACATAGTCTACGACTTCTTCGAAACTGACACTGTAAATAGAAACTTCCTAATTCTGGGATATTTTGAACTCCTATGTAAGAGTATTTAATAAACCTCTTCTTGTTGGCTTTCTTCTACTTAAACTTCTGTTTCTTTGATACTCTCTCTCTAATTTACGGCCGTCTTAATTTTCGGCTATTGTGAACTCCTATGTAAGAGTATTTAATAAACCTCTTCTTCTTTGATTTCCTCTAATTAGTCTTCTGTTCTCTCGATACTCTCTCTATAATTAACGGCCTTCCTAATTCTCGGCTATTTTGAAATCCTATGTAAGAGTATTTAATAAACCTCTTCTTCTTGGTTGTCCACTAATTAGTGTTCTCTTCCTTCGATACTCTCTCTCTAACTACGGCCTTCCTAATTATTTAATAATCCACTTCTTCTGTGTTTTCGTCTAATTACACTTTCCTACCTTCGATACTCTCTCTCTAACTACGGCCTTCCTAATTCTCAGCTAATGTGAACTCCTAAGTAAGAGTATTTAATAAACCTCTTCTTTGTTTTCCTCCAATTAGACTTTTCTTCCTTCGATACTCTCTCTCTAAGTACGGCTTTCCTAATTCACAGCTAATGTGAACTCCTATGTAAGAGTATTTAAAAAACCTCTTCTTCTTTGCTTTCCTCTAATTAGTCTTCTCTGCCTTCGATACTCTCTCTCTAACTACGGCCTTCCTAATTCTCAGCGGTTGTGAACTCCTATGTAAGAGTATTTAATAAACCTCTTCTTCTGTGTTTACCTCTAAGTAGTCTTCTGTTCCTTCGATACTCTTTCTCTAACTACGGCTTTCCTAATTATTTAATAACCCACTTCTTATGTGTTTTCGTCTAATTAGACTTCTCTTCCTTCGATACTCTCTCTCTAACTACGGCCTTCCTAATTCTCAGCTAATGTGAACTCCGATGTAAGAGTATTTAAGAAATCTCTTCTTCTTTGTTTTCCTCCAATTAGACTTTTCTTCCTTCGATACTCTCTCTCTTACAACGGCCTTCCTAATTCTCGGCTATTGTGAACTCCTATGTAAGAGTATTTAATAAACCTCTTCTTCTGTGCTTTCCTCTACTTAGTCTTCTCTTCCTTCGATACTCACTTTCTAAGTACGACTTTCCTAATTATTTAATAAAACGCTTCTTCTGTGTTTTCCTCTAATTAGTCTTCTGTTCCTTCGATACTCTTTCTCTAACTACGGCCTTCCTAATTCTCGTCTATTGTGAACTCTTATGTAAGAGTATTTAATAAAACTCTTCTTCTGTGTTTTGCTGTAATTAGTCTTCTGTTCCTTCGATATTCTCTCTCTAATTTACGGCCTTCCTAATTCTCAGCTGATGTGAACTCCTATGTAAGAGTATTTAATAAAACTCTTCTTCTTTGCTTTCCTCCAAATAGACTTTTCTTCCTTCCATACTCTCTCTCTTGTGAACTCCTATGTAAGAGAATTTAATAAACCTCTTCTTCTGTGTTTTCCTCTACTTAGTTTCTCTTCCTTCGATACTCTCTCTCTAACTAAGGCCTTCCTAATTCTCTGCTATAGTGAACTCCTATGTAAGAGTATTTAATAAACTTCTTCTTCTATGTTTTCCTCTAATTAGTCTTCGCTTCCTTCGATACAATTTTCTAACTACGTCCTTCCTAATTCTCGTCTATTGTGAACTCCTATGTATGAGTATTTAATAAACCTCTTCTTCTGTGTTTTCCTGTAATTAGTCTTCTCTCACTTAGATACTCTCTCTCTAACTACGGCCTTCCTAATTCTCGGCTATTGTGAACTCCTATGTAAGAGTATTTAATTAACCTCTTCTTCTGTGTTTTCCTCTAATTATTCTTCTGTTCCTTCGATACTCTTTCTCTAACTACGGCCTTCCTAATTCTCGTCTATTGGAACTCGTATGTAAAGAGTATTTAATAAACCTCTTCTTTTGTGTTTTCCTCTAATTAGTCTTCTGTTCCTTCGATACTCTTTTTATAATTGGCCTTCCTAATTCTCGTCTATTGTGAACTCCTATGCAAGAGTATTTAATAAACCTCTTCTTCTGTGTTTTGCTGTAATTAGTCTTCTTCCTTATATACTCTTTTCTCTAACTACCGCCTTCCTAATTCTTGGCTATCCAGAACACCTATGATCAAGACTATTTAATAAACCCTTCTTCTGTGTTTTCCTCTAAATAGTCTTCTGTTCCTTCGATATTCTCTCTAATTTGGGCCTTCCTAATTCTCAGCTGATTGTGAACTCACTGTAAGAGTATTTAATAAACCTCTTCTGCTGTGTTTTCCTCTAATTAGTCTTCTGTTCCTTCGATACTCTTTCTCTAACTACGTCCTTCCTAATTCTCGTCTATTGTGAACTCCTCTGTAAGAGTATTTAATAAACCTCTTCTTCTGTGTTTTGCTGTAATTAGTCTTCTCTTCCTTAGATACACTTTCTCTAACTACGGCCTTCCTAATTCTTGACTATTGTGAACTCCTATGAAGGAGTATTTAATAAACCTCTTCTTCTGTGTTTTCCTCTAATTAGTCTTCTGTTCCTTCGATATTCTTTCTCTAACTACGGCCTTCCTAATTCTCAGCTATTGTGAACTCGTATGTAAGATTATTTAATAAACCTCTTCTTCTGTGTTTTCCTCTAATTAGTCTTCTCTTCCTTCGATACTCTTTCTCTAACTACGGCCTTCCTAATTCTCAGCTATTGTGAACTCGTATGTAAGAGTATTTAATAAAACTCTTCTGTGTTTTCCTCTAATTAGTCTTCTCTTCCTTAGATACTTTTCTCCTACTACGGCCTTCCTAATTCTTGGCTATTGGGAACTCCTATGTAAGACTATTTAATAAACCTCGTCTTCTGTGTTTTCCTCTAATTAGTATTCTGTTCCTTCGATACTCTTTCTCTAATTACGGCCTTCATAATTCTCGTCTATTGTGAACTCCTCTGTAAGAGTATTTAATAAACCTCTTCTGTGTTTTCCTCTAATTAGTTTTCTGTTCATTCGATACTCTTTTTCTATCTACGGCCTTCCTAATTCTTGAGTATTGTGAACTCCTATGCAAGATTATTTAATAATCCTCTTCTTCTGTGTTTTCCTCTAATTAGTCTTCTGTTCCTTCGCTATTCTCTCTCTAATTTACGGCCTACCTAATTCTTGGCTATTATGAACTCCTATGTAAGAGTATTTAATAAACCTCTTCTTCTGTGTTTTCCTGGAATTAGTCTTTTCTTCCTTCGATACTCTCTCTCTAACTACGGCCTTCCTAATTCTCGGCTATTGTGAACTCCTATGTAAGAGTATTTAATAAACCTCTTCTTCTGTGCTTTCCTCTCTACTTAGTCTTCTTCTTGTACTCACTTTCTAAGTACGACTTTCCTAATTATTTAATAAAACGCTTCTTCTGTGTTTTCCTAATTAGTCTTCTGTTCTTCTTCGATACTCTTTCTCTAACTACGGCCTTCCTAATTCTCGTCTATTAGAACTCTTATGTAGAGTATTTAATAAAACTCTTCTTCTGTGTTTTACTGTAATTGTCTTCTGTTCCTTCGATATTCTCTCTCTAATTTTGGCCTTCCTAATTCTCAGCTGATGCTGAACTCCTATGTAAGAGTATTTAATAAAACTCTTCTTCTTTGCTTTCCTCCAAATAGATCTTTTCTTCCTTCCATACTCTCTCTCTTGTGGCTCTGAGAGAATTTAATAAACCTCTTCTTCCTGGAACTCTTACTTAGTTTCTCTTCCTAAACCTCTCTAACCAAGGCCTTTTAATTCTCTGCTATAGTGAACTCCTTATGTTCCTTCTTCTTCTTCTATGTTTTCTCTAATTTTTGTTTTTTTCAATACGCAATTTTTACTTAGTTTCTCTGTTCCTTCTGATACTCTTTTTCTAATTTCTCTTAGATGCAAAGGCCTTCCTAATTCTGAATTCTCCTGAGTATTTAATTAATCTTCTTCTGAACTCTATTTATCTCTTCTCTAAGATAGTATTTAATAAACTTCTATTCCTTCTTTGTGTTTTTTTCCTGTAATTAGTCTTCTTCCTTAGAATTTTTCCAAATACGGCCTTCCTA